TCACACACACATACACTCACACACACTCGCATACATACACATATACACACATTCGCATACATATACACTCACACACTCGCATACATGCACACACACACGCCCTCACACAACTCTCAGCCAGTACCCGATCACATAAAGGTTTACTCGTGTTTCAGGTCTCTGCAAACAAAGGGGAGATCGGCGACGCGACGCCCTTTAACGACGCCGTCAACGTGCAGAAAGTTTCCAACCTGCTGTCGGAATACGGATACCACCTGAGAGGAAATGAGGTCACTTCCTGTTCTCTACCCACCCATAAACCCAGGTGATGTTTAAAGACCTGGTTCTGATGTGGTTCTGGTCTGTTCAGGTTCTGTATAATGGCTTCACGGGGAGGAAGCTGACGTCCCAGATCTTCATCGGACCCACGTACTACCAGCGCCTCAAACACATGGTGGACGACAAGATCCACTCGAGGGCCAGGGGCCCGGTCCAGATCCTCAACAGGCAGCCAATGGAGGGCCGGTCCCGGTGAGGACGTCTGTCCCTCTCTGTCTCACCTCTCTCACCTGTCTCTCCTCTCTCACCTGTCTCTCCTCTCTCACCTGTCTCTCCTCTCTCCCCTGTCTCTCCTCTCTCACCTGTCTCTCCTGTCTCTCCTCTCTCACCTGTCTCTCTCTCTCACCTGTCTCTCCTGTCTCTCCTCTCTCACCTGTCTCTCCTCTCTCACCTGTCTCTCCTCTCTCACCTGTCTCTCCCTCTCTCTCTCACCTGTCTCTCCCTCTCTCACCTGTCTCTCCTCTCTCACCTGTCTCTCCTGTCTCTCCTCTCTCACCTGTCTCTCCTCTCTCACCTGTCTCTCCTGTCTCTCCTCTCTCACCTGTCTCTCCTCTCTCACCTGTCTCTCCTGTCTCTCCTCTCTCACCTGTCTCACCTGTCTCTCCTCTCTAACCTGTCTCACCTGTCTCTCCTCTCTCCCCTGTCTCTCCTGTCTCTCCTCTCTCACCTGTCTCTCCTCTCTCACCTGTCTCTCCTCTCTCACCTGTCTCTCCTGTCTCTCCTCTCTCACCTGTCTCTCCTCTCTCACCTGTCTCACCTGTCTCTCCTCTCTAACCTGTCTCACCTGTCTCCCCCTCAGTGACGGCGGTCTGCGGTTCGGTGAGATGGAGAGAGATTGTCAGATCGCTCACGGCGCGGCTCAGTTCCTCAAAGAGCGTCTGTTCGAGGCGTCTGATCCGTATCAGGTGCACGTCTGTAACCTGTGTGGACTGATGGCCATCGCCAACACACGCACACACACCTACGAATGCAGAGGCTGCCGCAACAAGACCCAGGTAAACACTCCTGTCACCAGGTCAACACACCTGTCACCAGGTCAACACACCTGTCACCAAGTCAACACACCTGTCACCAGGTCAACACACCTGTCACCAGGTCAACACACCTGTAACAAACACAACCTGTCACCAGGTCAACACACCTGTCACCAGGTCAACACACCTGTAACAAACACAACCTGTAAATACACTACTAACCAGGTGTATTTGATCTCACCTGTCCCCACTAACCAGGTGTATTTGATCTCACCTGTCCCCACTAACCAGGTGTATATTCTCTCACCTGTCCCCACTAACCAGGTGTATTTGATCTCACCTGTCCCCACTAACCAGGTGTATTTGATCTCACCTGTCCCCACTAACCAGGTATATTCTCTCACCTGTCCCCCCCCACAGATCTCGCTGGTGCGCATGCCGTACGCCTGTAAGCTTCTCTTCCAGGAGTTGATGTCGATGAGCATTGCGCCTCGTATGATGACGTCATAGTGGCTCGGCCAATCGGACGCCTCCGTGCAGACTTTACCTTTGAGGTCAGCAGGAAGTGTGCTTGTAATGTTTTTACAGTTTCCTGTCTTTTGTTTTTTGTATGAAAATAAAGCTGATGAAGTTTCTGAGGAAGACTCTGGGTCACATGTTCTTTCCTCACGTTGACATCACCAAGGGTCTCTCATCTTTATACATATTCAGAATAAACATCTGACCCCTGAGAAGCTTCACACAGAATGATTCAAACCAGAATGTAATTGTTGCTTCCCAAAGTTAGCTTTCAAATGAACCACTGAGCCCTCGGGTCAAAGGTCATTAAAGGGTCGTGGGAAAGACCTCTGTTTTCTCTGCCTGTTGCCACTCATGAGAGGCTTCTCAATACTCTAATTTCCCCTCCTCGACTCCTATCCTCGAGACTTAGTCCCGCCCACAGGAGATGCGAGCGGAGGACTGAGGAGGGGAGAGAGGAGGGGAGCCGAGGAGAGAGGAGGGGAGGGGAGCCGAGGAGAGAGGAGGGGAGCCGAGGAGAGAGGAGGGGAGCCGAGGAGAGAGGAGGGGAGCCGAGGAGAGAGGAGGGGAGCCGAGGAGAGAGGAGGGGAGCCGAGGAGAGAGGAGGGGAAGCAGCAGGCGGTTAGAGAAATGAGAACTCCTCTCCTCTGAGCGGTCATTTTAAAGAGACGTCCATTAATGATGACAGGAGGCACAGCAGCACTCTGTCTGATGGACAGATGTGTTCATGACGACTTATATATTTACTTTGATTCATTCACAGTGCGGTATAATGAGACAATAACAGGCTACAGATGCGGACATACACACACACACACACACACACACACGCATATATTTATATAAATATATACAATTTAAAGTATGAGAGCACTCTCATAATAACGTAACACAATCAGAGACTGGATATATCCCCCCCTCTCCTCTCTCTGGTCGCTGAAATGGGGAATTGAAATTACGCGCCAAAAGTTGTATTTACAAGTAAGCATAGGACACCAAACCAACTGAGACCTGTCTGTCCGCTGCATCTACGCACACACTGCACCACACACACCTACACCACACACACACACCTACAGCTCCTAAAGCATATCATCAGGCTACAGCCGTTGTGTATTTTATTATGTGAAGCACTAAATGGTTTTAGAAAAATATCGACTTTGTTTGTTGTTAAGGAATAATTCTTCTAGATATCTAACCTTTTGCTCTGTGACCGGTCAACTTGACTGGCACGAAGGGTAATTGTTGCGGGAACACCGAGGCACTTCTTTATCGGTGTTTGTGGGCTCTAGGATGTGAAATCCTTGAGGCCATGAGTGTCGGACGCAGGTGGCTCAGTGTTTAGTCTACTCCTTCAGAGATGTTGATTTCTCTCTGTGAACCAGTTAAAAGGTCTAGCATAGAGAGAGGCTCTTCAGAATTGACGTGGCAACTCTACCGTGTAGTCAGAACCTCTGACTCTTTGATTTGTGATGTGAATCCTCCGGCCGAATACTCTGAATAAACCCATCAGTGTTTGACATCAAAGCTCCAACTCTCACCGTGTCTCCTTCCTGAGTCGGTGACTCCATGCATTACTACACAGAAGTTTCCTCCACAAATTGGCGTTGTTGGCAGGATACCAACAGATCTTCAGAAACTGGTAAGTGTGATTTCAAATCTACATTTGGACATTGCCTTACCAGAATCTGTGATTGACGGTATCCTAAAATTATCTGTGAAGCTAAGCGGCTGCGTTTCGTTTTGGTTAATGAACATTTGGGGCTAGTAACCCCAGGGGACCATCCAGGGACTCTGTCTTGGCTGGTTCCCTCTGTGTGTGCTGCTCGGGACGTATGTGCCGTGCAGGCATACACGGAGATGTTTAAAAAGACCTTAATGAGGGCAGCAGTAAAGTGGAACTTCTGTGTGAAATCAAAATAGAGATTTGTAGTGAACAAATCGCCGAGATTCCGGGGGTTTCAGCGGCCAACACTAGCAGTTAACTCAAGCAGCCAGAGATATTACCCCCAGCGCCTCTAAAAAAAAAACACGGCTCCAGCTGCGGCTCCGGGGAATGTGTGTAAAATACCTCCCCGTATCTGCATGAGCTGGTGAGGTGAACTCAGAGGGAGAAAATCACAGCTTTTGTCTATAACTTTAACTCACACCACCGCCGTCTCTATTAAAAAAGAGACTGTTTAAAAGCACTCTCGTGGCTTGTGGCCGTTTACGATGTGCTGGCAGGTGCGAGGTGCGTGCATTACCTGATGCGACAGGCTCCCTACATTGCTGGAGGAGCTGATGTCGGTCCGGGGTGCATACATAAAATTATAGGCTAATTGATCATGGGTGGGCAGTGGTATGCAAGTGTAGAGCAAAACTGTGTTTCATCGTTGGGATGAGCATGATGGGAGGTGTGTAGGCTGGTCGAGTAGGACTACAGTTAACTGTGTGGTTTCGGATAGAAAGGGTAGAGGAAAAAAGTCTATGTGCTCCAGATCGGGGGGGCATAGCACCACTAGAACAGGGATAGTGGGGTCGCAAGAGGATAAGCTAGTTATTGCTCTTGGACGGTCTTCAGGCACCGATCTAGGACTTGTATACAAGGGTGGGTGCGCGAGTCAAGGTGCCCCACTGGGTTCCCCATTGGGGAGAGATCATATCCCTACCCCCTCTGAAACCTCTTTAATCCGGACTAAATTGAGCTGGATGAACTTTGCTGTCGCACTGGTGTTTATTATGAGTTCATGTTTGTTTGTCTGATTGTTTGTATCAGGGGTCTATATTGGTTTGTCTAACCGCCGTCTTGTGCATGTTTTGTAACAACTAATAATGAATCAGTCCATAGCCAGGGTAAAATAAACTAAGCTTCAGTTAACTCACCAAAAGTAAATGACTTGAGAAAAATAAATAATATATAGTGTTTTGCAAAATTCTGTTAGTGTAGATGTGCTGCAAAATGAAAATAAATAGCAAAAGAGTGTTTTTATGTCCTGCATCTGAGTGTGCAGAGGAACATGTAAACAAGGAGCACACTGTTCAGGGTGTGCGCTGTAGGTGTAAGAAGAAGAGAAGATTATATTATTTTAAGAATACATTTTAAATTGTATTGCTGTTATGTTAAGATATGTTTGTGACCTTTTATAAACCCTATGCCCCGTCCTGCACCCTGAGACCCTCAGAGGCATCACTGCTGGTCGTAAAAAACCTGCCTGAGGAGGTCAGGGTGGCAAAATCTGTCTGCTGTTTTAGGTCAATGTTGTATTATTTGTTTCATTTATTCTTAAATCTATGTATTGTATGGTAATAATGAAAAAAAAACGTAATGTTTTGAACACATTCCGAAACAAAGCTGATAAGACAGAACTTGACTCAGACATAATACAAATTATTGTTGAAACCTTTTGCGCTGTTGCTGCAAAATGGAAACTTTGTTGATTATCTATTCCAACTGGCCACTGGAATCAGATAATTAATATAAGTTGAAGTTTAATTACAGTTTTAAATATAGTTTAACATTCTTTATTAAACTGCTTCAAATGATTTCTCGTATCAACCAATTGGTCTCCATAGACATTACTACAATTATAATAGTTGTTAAACTACTGACAAGTTTTCTGAAACCGAGCTTATGAACAAAAGAGTAAAGGTCGCTGGTTAAGCCAGGATCAATATATTTGTTGACGTTTTCATTACAGTGTGCATATTAAATGTGTTAAATGAATTGAGCAATTCTTTAAAAAGTATAATGTTGCAATCTCTTTACAATAAGTAATTACAGTTAACAAAGAAGTAGAGGTTGTTTTCCAAGGGCCTCTCCTTCACAGGCCTACACTTTAAATCATGAGACTTTCAGATCATAACAGACAGAGATCGGTATCACTTTGTGTTGCAAGCCAAATCCATGTAAAGGTTCTACTTGAGCCCAATTTAAATACCATAAAGAAAGTATTGAACCCAGCTCAAGCTAAATGTCAAATGTATTTAATTAAGGTGCAAGTGTTTTGATTTATTTAAAATGTTCCAGTCTAGCTTCTTTCGAGTTCAGTCTAAGCAACAAATTGTTTCTCATAACATTCTCACTGCTGTCCCAAATGTTTTAACCTTGGGCAGACAAGCTGTACACACACCCACACACTTTGGATAAGTAGTCACCTTATCCACATTGTAAATTGTTGCCTTCTTTAAAGTTATTAGTTATTTAAGATTAATTATTAAATTAAATGTGGTACATAAGATAAAATAAATAAAATAACTTTGACTTGATCATTTTGTTCACAACATTAGACGTGTCCTCTAATCTCTGCTAGAATAAGATAAGTGTGCATGTTTGGATGTTTTAACACTTCTGTAATGTACCTCATCTTGATATCCTTTTCATTACAGAGCTGGGAAAATGGTGTATTGATTAGATTCTGATCCGTGCACGTCCAATTTTGACTGATTTTAGTTCTAATGTTAATTTGACTTCAACCCATAAGTAATTATTTAAATTAACTCTAAATGTCACATGATGATGGATTAGTGTTCCACATTTTTTCCACTAATTTGTTTTACAATTAGGCCAAAGGTAAAGAGAGACATTGATGACCTTGTGTCCCTTTTGTTAGTACGTGGTTCCATTTTGTCTATGGCCTTGGACGGCTTCACTAAAAGTCACCCAGTTCTGCCCTGCTGCAGTCCGGCTGAGTGCAGTCACAGAGATGCTATGGCTGCTCTACATGACATTAATGGTCTGGTCTGAATGGACACCATTTCCTGCTCCCAGAGAGAATGACACTCCTCAAACTGAACATTACAGCCGTTGATACTGTCTCACATGGGTCTGCTCCCCCCCACTGCGCCATGAACTGAAAGCATGACATCTGCTATGAACACTTGGAAGCCTCCCTGTCACACCAGCACCAACCCTTGGGTCAGTCAGATGAGACTAACGGCTTCACTTAGGGCATTTGGTTCAGATACATGACTCTCGTTACCGCAGAGTGGGTTGTTTTTAAGGCTATTCATACTGCTATGCAGAGGATGCCTGTAAGTTAGCGAGCTGGTAAAAGCCCCTACTATTGTTTCAAATAGGCCTAATGTCAGGGGCCTCTTAATGTCTAGTTCTACATGTATTCACATTATATAGACAATG